AAAAACAGCCAAGTTTCATTTCAATTCAGCAAAAAATCATAACCAAAGCTCTCTTTCAGCTTAATAGGAACAACAAAGAATTTTTATCTAACACTGACTAAGAGCTTAATTCCTCCAGTAGCAATGCTAAAAATTCAAAAATTGATTGACTAATCTTAGAAACTCAAAACCTACCATCAATAATATATATCAAATACCACAGAGACGCAATTGCAAATTAACCAGCCAAACTATTTATCGATTCAAGAAACCCAAAATGGAAAACCAAAGAAACAAATTGAAACCTCACAAACTGGAAGAGAACATCAAGCAAGATTGAGCAAGCTAACTAGCCAAAGGCAAGAGTAATAGGCTATCATGACGAAGGACCTGCCATGAGAAAGCTTCTAGAAGCTTTTCTTGGCCTAAAAACCCAAGTAAAGCATGAAGAGAAGTGAGGAGACAATAAGAGCAAGTTGTGCCAAAACCCATGGCACTCAAAGGGCCACTCGTATATACCTCTGAGAGAAGGAGATGAATTGATTTGGTTTTGGGTCTCAAAATGGAAAATGGAGATTCCACAATGGTGTCAAGACATCACATTTTGGGGGTTTAACATGGAGAGAAGTATCAAATTCCATAACTGGAGCACCCAAAACAATAAAGAAAAACCCTAAAAGGAAGAGAGTTGGGGATGGAGCAATCTGCATATGAAGAAAATGGGTAGATAGGAGCAATCGACAAATGAGGATGCCAGAAAAGTCAAGCTCAGGATCTAGTGAAAAGTGTGACAGATGGAAGATGGGTAGAAAGGAACGATTGAGAGGTAGAGTTGAGAGGAGCTATCGAGAGGTAAAAGGATATGCAAAATTAGGTTTTCTTAATGGTTTATATAGTGGTTTAATCATAATTTTGTTAAAACATGAGGATAAAATAGGTATAATGAGCAATTTTCATTAAAAGGAGGCCAGAAGCACCCGCAAAAGCAAGGATTTCTTGCTTCTGGAGTTTTCAAAGGGTGGAAGTTGGCTTGAGATTCTCACCGGCTGAAGGCCATTCCAAAAGTAAGAGCATGTTTGGGTTATCTTGTAAGAATTTTTATTTTTATTTTTTGTATTATTTATGAGTAATAACTTTAAATTTTTATTAAAAAAATTTAAAAGTTATTTTTAGAAAGTGAGTAAAAAATGAGTTTATAAAAAATTTAAATTTAAAAGTTTTGAATTTTTACTATTTGAGATTTTTTTAAAGTTAAAAAAAAATTTAAAAATGTAAGTTTTTAAAAAGAGAATTTAAATTTATAAAACAAAAATAGTGTCAAAAAACTAAAATATTTGAAAGTTAAACCAAACATGCCTTAAGAGTGTTTGGTGTAGCTGGAGCTTTTGGACTTCAAAAGCCCTTCCCACCAGCTGCACTAAACAAGCATTATAGTATCCAACATTTGCAAGTTCCACTTCAAACAGTAGCTCTGCAACATTTCTTCTTATCTCAATGTTATCCCAATCTTATTCCCCGTCCATGAATCACTTCACCAGAACTCAGCTCTCCCAGAAAAGCAGATGCTGAGATAAAACAGGACAAAGCTATGCCATCTGGTTTTTGTCCAGAGTTTATCAAATGATGTTTGTCCAGTGTATATAATCTTTTTGAAGTTTGAAATACCACAACGACAATAGGCCTCCTTTTATTATGGAATTCCAAGAAACGATATCTTTATTTTCCACACCTGCAAACATTGACTCAGAACATGTCAAATCGTAATTTTAGTGTTTTGCCCCTTCAATTTCTTAAATCGTAAGGTTCAACAATTAATTCCTCCGTTACAATTTAGTTATCCTATTTTGATAACTCTAGGTATGTTTAGGTAATGCTTTTTCATAGAATAAAATTTCAATAGCAACAATTTCATCTTTATATTTATATTCTACTATAAAAAGGCATTACCTAAATTGCATATACCATTTTCAAAGGAATCCCAAGAAAACCAAAGATGATTTAATAATTTAAGTAATGCAAAATCTAAGTTTCATTATTAGTTGTTAAAATTATTGATTTGATAAATAAGAAAGACTGTAATTATATTATATAACTCATCATAAGATTTATTAAAAATAAAGAGTAAATCTCATAATTTTTTTATTCTCAAGTATAATTACATAATGAAATGATCGAAAATAAAATCCTGTTAATTAGTTCCTCCTGCTCATGCACTTTTGATAGCAGTGATCCACATACCCTTCTGTGACCTCTTTATCTGGAACATGAAAAACACAAATAAGACTTCCGCTCATGAAAGAGGAAGAAAAACGAGGTACAATGGGGAAAAAAAATATCTTTTGACTCTCATACCAGTTCTAAAAATAGAAGGCATGGATTGGGAACAACTGGTGGTGCACTTGGAGAGCAATTCCAAGTCTGAAAGCTTGCATCTTTCCATACAAGTTTTATCACACAGGCTGCGGATGACGGGAATCTTGGCTTTGAAGCACTTAGTTCCGCACTTGATTCTGCAACTGCTGTCTGGATTGACATGACTGTCTTGAGGGAAGAAGGCCTCTGGTGTTTGTGGAGTTGATGGGGTTTTTGATAAAAATGAAGGCATAGAAGTGTCGAAAGGCAGAAGGGTTTCTGTCTCAGAGGGCAAAGAGGTTTCAAAGGGGGAAAACTCTTCTGCTTGCACAACTGCTAGCAGAAGAATAACCAATAACATCTGCTTCATCGCCATGGCTCTTTTCATATGCTAAAACAACTCTTTTTTGCTGTTTAGAAAGTGCAAAATAAAGAAGATTTTATAGGCTGTAGGTTTTACAGTGATCAATGGAGAGATTCTTTAATTGATATTGATGCTATTTTACACCATTAATCATGGGATTTCTTCCTTAACCAAAGGTTTTCCTCTTTCTATATCTTTACTTCCCATCTTTTCTAAGTTGATTATGGAATTTTTTTTTTTCTTTGGTAAAAAGATTATGGAAAGTTGGATAAAGCAATTCTTCTGTATCATGTGGGATTCATCATCTCTTAGTTGAATCTAACTTTATTAGTATTTTTTTTTTTTATACTAACCTTTCGATATCCAGAAATTATATTAAATCTTAATTAATCCAGAGTTGAGTGAAATCGGACGTCATATGGAAAGAAACTCTCTTAACGTCTATTTTTTCATTCATAAAACTCAAACTCGAGATATTATTTAAGGAAAACCAAGATCTTCCTACTTAGATCAACAAATAATTAATCTAACTATATTAGTAAATGTTTTATAGGGAAGTTCATCAACGAAGTACCACATTAGGAAAGTTAGGGGGCAGAATTTTATTAAAAAAAAAAAAAGAAACAGAAAAGAAAAATTTTGTTTATTGAGAATTGAAAAATAAAGTTTATAGTACCAATTTTACCCTTGAACTTTTTAGGTAAGGAGGAGAGTTTCCTCTCCATGCCAAACATATCCTTAAAAGTTAAATCTACAGCTGCAATTATTTTTATTAGCAATTTGTGAAAACTGAAAATTTTAAATACTATTTCAAAATTTTTTACCTAATATTGCACCGTAAGAAGAATACACAATCCCTTCTCTGTATCGAGAATTTGATTCTGGAAATCTTATTTTGTATAAATATTGATACAAACTCATCCCCATCTTCTAATATGAATACAACTCTTGCTGTTTCCAATGGGTTAGGAGCTTTAACCGGTTTGACAATTCTTCCTTCTTGTTGTCTTCCCTAAGTCAGTGGTATGCTGACAAAAAAAAGAAATGAATGAGAAATGGCCTCACCATGGTGGATGGTCATCTTGTCGAGTCTGGGGTGGGATGGGTTTCCAGTTGGGTTTCTCATCCCAGTACATGTCATAGTATATGTGTCCGGGCTTATGGTTCTGAACACAGCACCATATACCAACATAACGCTTGACACGGTTCCTGAATTTCTCCTCTCTTGTCTGAGTACAATAATTTCATAAAGCATCAGTATAAGAAGTGTAGAGATGAATTTATTTGTAGTTCTATAATACTGAAGGAAAGTCCAGATACGGAAGAGAAGCATGGAGAAGGTAAGAGGTAACAGCCATGCAGGATTGTAAGCTTACAATCTTGACTTATAATTAAATAAGTAGATGTATACAATATCATGTGTGGATTCTTGAATGAAAAGAATCAATCATATAATGATATATTATGATTATAAGCTCACACTGTCATAACTATTATCATTTTCGTAAGTGGTAAAGAAATGAAAACACTTGCCTTGTCAGTGAATCCAGAGAAAGCATCTTTCATTGAAGAGAATTGGATGACTTTGACATCCTTGAATGCAGAGAAAACTTCCATGAACTGTATGTATATCACATAATAAAATCAAAAACATGGTCAGTTTTGAGTTTTCAACATAGCCATCTAATTTATGACTTAACAAATATACACTACCCCAATATAATGGCAAAGGAAACAAATTATGACAATCTCAATCCAATTTCGTAGGTCATAACTGCAAGATTTCTAGGATGGGGAGGTTTATATTTAGAAACCTCTGTTGTTACCTTATTCCACCACAACCCCACCACTTTTGAAGAGGACCATTTATTATTATTTTTTTTTGTTGAACAGCATGAAGAGAACTTTCTTGCTTCAACCATGATTTATTATGTTAATTGTGATTTGGCAGCCAAGACCTACGGAATCTCCTAATTTGAGTAGCCAACTCAATAATGGTCAAAGTATGTAACCATTTACTAAAAAATACATTAGAAAGACCCACAAGTTATGCATATTTTTTTCGTAATTCATCTAAAAGCAAGTTGCAATAAATATTAATGGTTTTGGAAACAGTTTCTTGAAAAACCAGCAGGAGTATTTAAATAAGACAATCCACATAAGAGTGTAATGAGCATGAAATACCATTTCTTCACTGCTGTTTTTTGGAAATCTCAGGAGACCAGGTTGACTCAAGTTACTTGATGCATGACAATCTTGGCTTCCATCTTGACAAAGCTGAACATCAAGCCATGACTCTTTCACCTGAAGCCAAAACCAAAAGTTCCCTGACTATATGAAGATCACTAAAAATAGATACCATGTTATATGTCAGTGTTATTCATTTACTTGTTTGGGCAATGATGGATTATCGAGAAAAGAGTACTCTCTTATGTTGATCCTAGGGCCAAATTCCTCTGCTGATAAATCTTTCAGCATGACATGTACCTGCAATCCATCACATATTCCTTACAGTTAAAGATTGCAACAACCATCTTTATACACACAAATGACGTAGCTAGAAGATTATAAGACAAATTCAAAAGAAAAATTTGCGGAACCAATTTAAGAGAAAAGTTTGGAACAGCGCATGCGTCAGTAACTCAATTAGTAAGATGTATATTCTCCATAGATTTGAATACTCACATCCCCAATGTCCAAAAAAGAGTTCAGAACAAGTCATTTTGAATAGAAGGTGAAAGATTGCAAAGGTTATGACCTAGATACATTATTTAATCAATGGGACACACACGAGTTTACCTTATTACAGAAGCATACAGATAAAGATGCAAACCATTATAAACAGCAGAAAGTAGCAAATGAACTAGTAGATGTTACAATCAGCTTCAGCATACCTCAAACACATGGTCTAAAGGGCACAGGAAAGGTTGTCTAGTAATTGAACCCTGTAGGACTCCAGGATGTGGAAACCACAGCCTATCAAACTTGCACCATAGTGGAGGCATAACCTGAAATTCACAAAATAAAACCAGGTTACTCATTTGTAATTTAAGTCATTAGTTTTGAAATTACTATTGCAGAGTGTGTATAAATCAATATATCTTCTTTTTCTATTTTTATCTTGCCTGACAAGCATAACATGTTGCTTGTACCTTGAAGGTTATGGAGTATATAGCACATCAAATACGTTAAAATAACTACTTAAGCTAAAAGCGAATGCACCCTAGCTGTTAGCTTTTCTCATCACCATATCTTAAATCGGTTGCATGCCTTTTTACGTAATAATTGATTTTGTTAATTACTAGCTTCACCTATTGTTTTAGTTGGCTCTCTCTGCAGCTTCCAGTTGCATTAACTTTTTCTTCGGCCTTAAAATTTAAAAACCCGAAGTTTTTCAACTGACATTTATTTATAGCTAATATTCAATTTGAAATGGAATCATTGGTGTCAGAAGAATATTTTTTGTGGCAAAACGAAAAATGGCAAAAGAAAATCAAGCAATTCTGCAGACATGGGTGCTATAGCAAAATTGATTATATGGATCTTCTGTACCAATAATAACCTGAAATTTCAATTAAACAAAAAAAAAAAGAGTTTAAATCTCCCCAAAGTAAAGAATAGTCTGACAGTTATCATAGGTTTTCCAGACAGGATGATATTACAAGTTATGCTACCTCAGGAATGCAGGGTGGTAACTTATGATTGCAAAAACTTGATAAAAGAAGTAGCAATATCACCTTCTGCTACTAACTAGCTATCAAAATTCAAAGTAGCACCCATTTTCAAGAAATTCATTCTTAAACTTCAAGAACACAAACTTTTATGTCAACCACGTCAAGCAACTAAAGTTTTCTTACCAGTGTACGGTCCAACAATGATGCAACAGCAAGTGCTGACCTTATTTGTTTTATCTGAACAGGATCACCAAAAATTTAAGTTATGAGGATCAACACAGAGGATATAAATCAAAAGGGAGAGCTAAAATGTCAAGGTTAATATTACATACTTGGTAATTAACAAGGGAGAAGTGGGATTCAAGATTATGCACCCCATCCAGTAACAAGCTCGTTGGAATGGAAGGTTTAAATGACAAGAAACCTCCTGCAGGGTTTCCATAAAAGGTTTACTAAGTGTGAGTTCTTAATCCAGTTTGGCATGAGTTTCATTGTTTAGAAAGTTCTAAAATAAAAGAAAGATGAAGTTCTACACATAACAATGTCATTAAAAAGGGCCAGAAACATTTAAATCACATGTGATTGAGTTTGATTCGTTTGCAAAAAAAAATTCTACCAAAGCAAATCAGTAGTTCCCAGATGGAAAGCATGTTTCTCATAAGGAATGTTTGTGAGAATAATAAAAATTACCCGGTGCATCATAATATTCAGGTGCATCATAGAAAAGCATTCCTTCCCTTAGTCTGTGACGCTTTCCTTCTGTACCTGCATACTGAAACGTGGTATGCACAGCATATGGTTCCATCCTCAGTTGCTGAGGCATGGCCTGCCAATAGAACCGGGCTTAGAACATACTAGACGTTATAAACTATGCTGCTACTAATTGCAAGGTAAATCTAGATGGTTAAAGTTTATATGCATAAGCATGCTAAGTAAAATAAGAAACATAGTATCACACATCCATGACAAAACAAGACGAGAAAATGCTCAAAACCAAAGTAACTAACACATGGATCCTACCTGGACAAAAAAGGTATGCCCACTACAAAATATACTTGCTGGCAAAAGTCCCAGTTTGAGACTTCCATCAAAAGCATATGCAAGTCCACTGTCCCCATCAACAGATGGTCCTAACTGCCTCCGTACAAGTTCATTAAATCCATTCTGATCCCAGATATTGTCATCAGCTAAAAGCATACCTTTCCATTCTTTTGCTAATTTTTTTGCAGGCTCTGTTGGCCGCCAGTGGAAAATTCCTATATTGTAGGCAGCTCCAACTGCCCAAAGACAAAGAAACAGTAAATTTTAGCAGTAGAGTTGCATGAATAATCATGTCCAAAATTTATGAAGAAAACAGAGGCAAACGACTGGAACATGTGCTAAGAAAGAGAAAAAAGGGACTGAGGGCTATAATGTGAACTGATTCCAGTTCATTGGTCAATTAGCAAATGAAGGGGCCATAAAGGGAAGTCACATAGTTCAACGCAGTTCCATCTGCCAATACCCTTGATTGGTAAAAGAAAAGAAAAGAAAAGCAAATGCCTTCTTCCTGGCTATCTAGATAATATATAACATGTTCTGTAGTCTTCTGGCTAAAATAATTATGCCTTTCTATTGCTTTGACAAGTAGAACCAAGCTCAAAATATCCTTTTTTCAAAGTCTCAGCCAAGTTGGGGTTCACATGCAATCTATACAAAAATCTACCATAGAGGTTAATCAGCAATTTAGAGATGTGAGGCCATCACAAATGGCAATATGAAAACAGCAAAAGATACAACTTATTTCACGTAATTTTACCTTGTTGCCAGATGTCCAATCTGTCATCTGTGACAGTTGGCACAACTTGATCGCTTGAAGTTAGGACATCAGCATCAGGGTATCGAGCAAGATAGGGAAGTGGGTTCTGTTATAAGGAACATAGCAGGAAATAAATATATAAATAAAACAACTTTTGCTAGAATTTCGTATAAAGTTACCATAGGATAAGTATATGTGAGTATTGACAGCAGAATATGAAATATTAGATGAATAAATGGAAATTAAAAAAAAAAAGAAAAATAAAAAGAAGAAGCACAAAAAATAGAATATCATAGGTTGAAAAAAAAAAAAAAAAAAAAAAAACCTGGTTGATAGAAAAACAATAGAACTCATCTATCAAAGAAAAGATAAATTACACTGAAACACTAAATGAATCAAAGGAAATACAAACCACATGAAGATTAGAATACCATCCACCACTAATAAATGCAGTTCATCTATGTAAAAATGGAGACAAACCATGCTCGATAGCAATTACCACTTGTCACTGAATTTTTAATACTAATAAAATGTAGAAAGCCACAATTTTGACAAATAAAATAAATGCTAACAAAAGAAGTTGTTTATTCAGAAAAAAGTGATAAGATAGGCATGCAAATTTTACAACACTGTGACAGATGAAGGACTGGATCCAGTATGAGAAAACCAGGTAACAGAAATAGAATGATACCTTCAACCACACCATGTCTGTATCACACATCAGTATCTCATAGCCATACGGAAGGAGAGAATCTATGAGGATAACTTTTTCTCTACCCATTTTATGAAATGTAGGGGATCCCCAGCCAACATCAGCTGTGCTCAAGTGGCTGCCCATATCAAAAACTGGAATTCCTTTCCAATACAAGGCATTCACAAGTTCAGTGTCCATGGCACCTAAAACAACAGGCTCAATTTAGTTTCAATGTTTAAGCAAAACTATCAAATAATGGTAAGTCCAAAAGCTAGAAGTCTGAAAAACTTACCAACTAGAAGATTAGAAATGCCAAGATCCGTCAAATGTTTAACCCAAGTGAGGATGAAATCCATAAAGGCAAAGTTTCCAAAGGTGACAATGATGATATTATCTTTGACCCTCTGCTCAACCAGTTCTTTAGTTAGTCTAAAGCTCTTTAGGGGCGGCATTTTCGAATTCCGTGGGGGAGCTTCCCAAATAGGCCTCAACCCAGGGCCTGAAGCAGGTGCTGGCACCTTACCCATCATTGGCTTTTGTTGAGAAGTATTGACTCCATGATCCATGTAATGAGAATCTACATCTGAAATAACAAGTTACAAATGAACATAGGACATTTGACAAACGCATATTCATGTCAATCATTGCGTTTGTGAAAGTCTACTAAAATTCAATTTACTATCTTTAACGATCAAGATTCAGCTAACACCTACCAATTTGTGAAAGCTAGAAACATGACATTACGACACCAAAAAAATCTAAGCTACTTCCAGAACAGACAATGGTCAGAAGTAAAGAGTTTCTGATATATAACATCAAACAAGATGCAAAATTTTAAACTCAATTCTTCAAGTTGATTCAAAGTCTTCACTGTTACACTGACCCAGAAACGAATTTGATCTTAATTCATCCTGTAATGCATTTGAATAAACTCAGAAAAATCAGAAACCACAATAATAATAATAATAATAATAATAATAAAGAGACGTACTTTGGGAGAAAGGAGGAGAAGAAAGCCAGGAAGTGGACTGTGCGGTGGTGGAGGCTGAGGGAGAGTAAATTGCAGAGAAGACATAGAAGGTGGACACCACTATTCCCAGAATCACCGTAGCGTATATCGTGAGGAACAGCGGCTTTGAGCTGGCCGCCTCTTGAAAGGCGTTTCTCCATCCACCCATCTTCCTCTGAGAGAGAGAATATGGATCAGAATTAGTCGAATCTCAGAAGAATCATCAGCTCCACATTTCTCAGCTTTTCAATCGGAATTTCTGAATTTGTAAGTGTTGTTTTTGGATCGATGGCTGCAGTGCTCACCTGCCCACCAGTCGCGTCAACCATTCATGCTTGTCCTCTTTCTTCTCACAACTCTTAATTATTCCATTACTCTTCTTAATATTTTATTCGGTTAAAATACCAGTCTAGTCCCTAAACTTTCATATTTGTGTTAAATTTATCCTTAAACTTGAAAGGATACCAAAGTGATCCTTGAACTTCGATTTTCAATACCAATAGTCCTTCCGTTGACAAAAAGTGCCAAGTGGCACATTAGATGGCCAAGAAATCAATTCTTATTTTAAAAATGAATGACGTGTAAACTAAAACTTGATTTTTTTATGATTTAGCATTTCTTTATAAGAAATGATTAAGAAATAATTTTTTTATATAATATTTTATATTATTTAAATAATTATTTTTTTATTTATTTAAAATCACAATATTAATTATATTTATTTATTTAATAATATTTAAAAATTATATTAAAAAAATTATATAAAAAATTGTTTTTATATCACTAGGTTTTTTCTCAATCCACCTGCGATTTCAAGCATCCCATACCAAACCAAACAAAAAAAAGAAAGAGGAAACTTCATCTTTTTTCTTCTTTTCTCTCTCTCATCTATCTCATAGTTTACCTCCTCATTTCGCTCTCAAGTCTTCTTCCTTACCTTACCTCCTCTTCCTTCCTTTTCCTTCTTCTTATTCTCTCTCTTCCCTCCTTCCTAATTTGTAGGGTTCTCAAACTTAAATCTAGGTTCTCCACTGAAAATATGAAAGTTTGTTGAAGATTCGAGAAGCTTACAATGTAAACAAAAGCTTCAATTCCTATTGCCCTCTAAAAACCTTAAATCTAACCCTTTTTTTTTTTTCCTTTTTGTTAAACCAAGTGAGTCCCGGTGGGAAATAGAGATGGATAACTCAATCTCCAATAGAAAAATTGAACCTTTTGCAACTAGGTATGAGAAGAAGGCTTTGATCTCCAAGGAACCTAAGGGTTTTTTGGAGATGAATGTTGTGCCTTTTAAGAAGGAGAATGATCTCTATTCACAAACTCCTCTTCCCATTTATACACACAACCCAAAACTCTAGTTTCTCCTTTTTATTGATCATCACCGTTCAAAATTTCTATCCCTTAATTTGGAATCTTTGATCACAATAAACCACAATATACTTACCCTCACCGAATTGCTTCTGCTTTTGTACTAGGTTGTTGAAAATTTTGGCTTTCCTAGTCAAATTTTGTCTTGATTTACAGGGAAGAGACACGAATTGGAGCTAGCCACATCAAATTTGGACAGAGCTTGGTTGGCCAGGAAAACCCATGACATAATCCAACTACAACTATGAGAAAAAGACTAGGAACAGGAGCTGTGATTTTACTATGTGGTTAAAAGACTCCTCAAACACTCTTCCTTCCTCAACAGAACTGATTGGCATGGAGAATAAAGGAATCACCAAGGGTTGAGAACTGGAAATATTCTTTGTCCTTCATTCTGCTTTGAAGAAAGGCAGTTAGAGAATCCATGGGGGTTAAGAAGTCAAAGAAGATGCACTAATAAAGAGAATTTCAATTTATGACTGTTTAATAAAACATAACTAATAAGTTATATTTAAACTTGTTTAAAAGATAATTAAAGACAACTAAGTTATTTAATTGAAGATAATTAATAAGCTAAATTTATGAGTTACGTCTTTTAATTACTTAATTAAAATAGAGGTAATTATATTTTTAGTTAAATAGTAAATTTTAAAGTAGGACCCATAATTAAAAATGATAAAAATAAAGTGAATTCAGACGTGGACACCACATGGGATATAAAGAAGACTAAAAAATTTTTCACATCATTTGTTTTTTTTAAAAGGATCATGATTGATATACATTCAGATTTCACAGTTGAATGTGCACCCCTACGTGAAAAAATAAATTAGATTGGATAATGGATATTTTTTTTTTATGTGGGGTGCACACCCGAGCGTGGGATCGGGTGTGCACCTATCATTTTTCTTTTAAAAAATTAATTTTTTGGCAGCAAAATGTGCCATCTAAGACATTTGTAGGCAAAAGGACCAAATTAGTACTAAACATTGAAGCTTAAAGATAATTTTGATCATTTTTAAAGTTTAAAAATAAATTTAGTATAAATCTTAGAGTTGAGGGGTCAAACTTAAATTTTAACCTTTTAATTAATAGTAGATGGAAGTGATTGTTTTTATAAGTGAAGTACTGTGTGCCGATTTTTTATAATCATTGATGATACCCAATACTATGGTTATTCTTTTGCGCAAAAAAAGAAAGAGAGAGAGAGGAGGTTTGGGTTCATTAAATGTTAGGATTTTTAGTAAAATCATTTAAAAACTTCTAATATTTTTTTGGGAGATGGTTTTGTACAATCTTTTTATTTATTTATTTTTTGTATAATTTGACGTGTTATTTAAACGATTGGTTCTTTTAATTCACCTGAGACATGTGATATTGAATGCATCTACTCATTTAATGAAATGTAAAAATTATATAAAAAAGTGATATAAAAAAAATCATTCCTATAGCATCACCATATTTTTTTTTTGTACAGTGATTTATTAAGAACATTTTTATCTTTTTATCATTATTTCTTGCTTTTTTTTTTCTTAAATTTTAAGTTGTATAATAAGAGATGACTCTTTTATCTCTTAACCTACTATAACGGCTCATATGATTCGAATTTAAAATCTCTTACTTCTACTAAAAGAAAATTATCACTAAATTATTTAAATTGTTGATTTGTTTCTAACATTTTAGTTATGAGAACCTCTTAATTTTCCTCAAACATTTTATAATTTTTTTTTCAACGGATTGCAAAATAACTATTGTTATTTTTTATTTGATGATTTGAAAACCAAAATGTGAATTGAAATATATTGTTTATTGAATTGATTTGGATTGGAAGTTGATTTATTTGTGAATATATGATTTATTCATAGTAATATTAAATTAATTTTCAAATATTAAGTTTTGAATGTTTCCTTTTTGTGAAAGTCCATTTAATTGCATGATTATAGTTCCTTGTTACGGGGAGCCAAAAACAGAAAGTGCATTCTGCAATTAAGGTTCCAACTCCTAGGGCAAGGCTTGAACCCTTGATAATTCTATTTTTTAAAGTGTTAATGCAGAAAATTCTCCAAGTTCCAACCCTCTTAAGGTAGGTTACAACCCCTTATGTTGAGACATTAGTTTACCTACCATGTTTAGAATATATTCATTCCAAAAAGGAGTTCAAATGGTAAAGCACACTACTATGAAACCAAATCTAGAAGAATGGAAAAGTATGAAGAATAGAACTTTCAAGTTGAAAAACCAAAAGTGATTAAATTTCTACTTTGTGCTTTGTGAAATCTCTTATTTTCTTGTTATCTTTTATTGTAACAAGTGAGATAGGGATTGGGAAAACCTCGTTAGACCTAGTAATCCATCCTTGAAATATAGAAAGGGTTGAGAGATTTGTAACAAGGGGATTGAACGGTTTAATAGCACCCGTAAGCTATTGTGAAAGTGATTGGATAACCTTGTTAGATCTAGAGAAAACCAACCTTATGGTATATGATTGGGTTTGTGAGAGATTGTAACAAGGGATTGAATTGTTGAAGGTGGATAACGTTGACAACGTTATTGCAAACGGTTGCCTTTACACCCGAAAGTTAGAGGATAGATTTTGAATCCAAAACTAACTCTCAAGCAGGCAGCTTGAGAAGTGAATTAGGCAAAAATTGTGACTGAACCACTATAAATCTTTGTGTTTGAGTTTTCTCTTCCCTTAACTTTTAATTTTTGCACTCTAAATTATTTATTTGCAATTGCTTGTGAGTGTTCATTGTTTTGTGCTTGAAAGTTGCATAAAGTTTTTGGAAACCCAATTCACCCCCCATCTTGGGCTGCCACCAACAACTGTTATTATTGACTTTTGATAGATTTAAAAGTAAATGTGAATAAGGATATATACTTAATTACTTTTAATTATTTCTATATCTTTTCAATATTTCTTTTGAATATATTTCCATTTACATGAAAGACTATTTGATTGTGTGATTACTTATTCAATGTGCTTCCTTATGTGGTGAAAACAAAAATAAAAATTAAGTCTTCGCTTGAGGTTCCAACCCTTAAGACCAGGGTTTAAAACCCCTAAAGCTTCTGTTTTCCCCTTGGAATTGCTTGTTATATTTCAAGTTCCAACCTCCAAATTTTGGGTGCAGAACTACAAATACATTTGTGGTATGAAGCAAGGAGTATAGAATCCAACCCCTATAGGTAGGTTCCAACCCCTCAATGTTGAGATCTTGAATAACTTGTCAAAATTGAAATATGTTATTTCCAATTGAGCTTCAACATTTGTAAACCATTGATTGAGCAACCTTAGAGCATAAACACAAATATGGAAGCAAGGGATGCGTGAACAACAAGAGCACCTCCACGTGAAAATAGGAAGAAAGAGTGCTTCAACGTGAAAAACAAAGAGAGATAAAAAGTGTTCTTCCTTTTTCTTTGTGAATCCAACTGTCTACTTATTTAATCTTATTCTCTTTCATTGTAACAAGTGAGAGAGGGATTGGTAAAAACCTTATTAGATCTAAATATCTATTCTTGTAGTATAAAAAGTGTTAAGAGATTTGTAACAAGGGGATTGAATAGTTCAATATCACCAATAAGCTATTAGAAGAGTGATTGGGTAGTTTTGTTAGATTTAGAGAAAACCATCATTATGGTATAGGGTTGGATTTGTGAGAAATTATAACAAGGGGTTGAATTATTAAAAATGGATAAAGCCAATAAAGTTATTGCAAACGGTTGCCTCTACACTTAAAAGTTAGAGAAAAGCTTTTAAATTCAAAACAAACTCTTAAGTAGGTGGCTTTAGGAGTGAGCTCGGTACAAATTATGACTAAGCCACTATAAATTTTTGTGTTTGATCTTTCTCTTCTTTTAACTTTTAATTTTTGCACTTTGAATTATTTATTTACAATTGCTTGTAATAGTTCATTCTTTTACATTTGAAAATTACATAAAGTTTTTTCAAAATCCAATTCACCCCTTTTTAGGTTACCATCATTTGGGCCAACAATAACATTACTTTTACTTTTATATGGCCGTGGTATTATTTTTTTCTTCAAATTCCCATGTTTTCTCCTTCAAATAATCTTGGCTAAGCTATTTATTTATTTCTTTATTTTTAATATTGAGTTAGGGTTTAATTAATTTTTCAATTTAAAAATTTAAATCCTTAAGTTTAACTTTAAATCAAAATTTTTAAGTTATTATTATTTTTATTATTTATATGTAAAATTTTAAAACTCCCAAAGGGATGACTAAACGATTAAAATTTTGAAACTTTAAGTTAAAAATTTCAAACTTGAGTATTAAATTGAGTGAGAAGGAATTTAAGAATATGAGAAGATTATACTCTTTTATACAACTTATAATCAGATGTGCAAAAGAAAATTATATATAAATCTTATGTGAATGTTTTTGTTAAACCATTGTTATTATGAGGGCTAGAACTTTAAATTCATATTAGACTTTGAAAAAAGCTCTATGCTATTTAAAATAGTAAGGACTAGAACTCTAAATTCATATCAGACTTTGATAAAAGTTCTATGCTATTTAAAATATTAATACTATTTGTAAAATTATTTATTTATCTTTAATAAATTTTTCATACATATTAATTTATTAACAAATTTTACATATTTTATTATCATTCTTAATATTTTAATTATCTAAATATACTGATTTTACTCAATTCTTTAGAGTTTAATCACATAATGGACTAAACAAATGATCGGTTGAATGCTAATTTTGTGTTCAAGCCTGCTAGTTCTTTTCGCACGACTTTGGTCACCGACAAAACTAACCTTAATTCTAGATTAAAAAAAAAAAGCTTATAACTTCTTCTGTTTTCTTTTTTTTCTCCTGTTATTTAATAATAATATTAAATTATTAACATAGAAGACAGCACTTGGCCTGGTGGCCCATGACCCTATGCCTCATTGAATGAAAGTGCATCCCCCACCCCTAAAGTAATCTGTTAAATAAAAAAAAAAAAAATTAGCATCGAAGACACAGATGGTAGTATCTTTTTACTTGCAGAAATGCATATCAACAAAAACAAATTCGAGAACCTTGCAAAAATGTTTTGGGAATGACTTTTGGCAATTCCA